TTAAGGAAGTGGACTTACACCCACACACTGCTCCACTGTTCACTTTGGTGATGGGTTAAAAGCAGAGGTCACAGTTTGTTTTGTGCAGTGGTGTGCTGTGTCACAATGACTCCACTTTCCTTAGGGGAGGGTTAGGGATGAAGGTCTGAGATACTTTAGTGTTTTGGTTGGGGTTAGAGTGAGGGTCAGGTGAACTCTGGGTTAAAGTTAGGTTTGAAAAAGCTAGGTTTATTTCAGATATATTTTATTTTTCTGAAATATATTTATTTTTGTCACTCACTGATGTACTGTGCGGTATCTCCCAACCAAACCCTCTTTTCCTTTCTCGTCGCCATAACTGACCACTTGAAAGAAAACACTTGTTAGGAGTAGACTATCATTATGCTGTTGTCTGCCTAAAAACTGTCATTTTCGTTCTATTGACAGGAGGGCGGCTTCTCATTTGCCAGACAAAAGCATAGTTTGGCCTCCACACTGTTATCAAACCGTCACTTGTACTAGAGAGCATGTACTTACATGTACTTTTGGTCTCTGCTCTCTCCCTGAGAGTCTTATCTCTTTGAACCCTTCGTGATGCTTTTTCCACTTTCACTGCTTCTCTGCCTGCTTATGTTTTATTCTCCTCCGCCTCACTGTCAGCCTCCTCTGCCTCCCTCTGCCTCCCTCTCTCTCTCTCTCTCAGTACGCTCTGGTCTACAAGGATTTCAGTTTGCACAAGGATGATCTGCTCTACTGGCAGCTCCCAGCACAGTTCACTGGGGATAAGGTAACAGTGAAAACTTTTGGCAGTGTCCCCTGCTGACCTCAGGTCACTCACTCTGACCGTACACCGCCATTATTATCCAAGTTGACCATTCATCCTGTGTTGTCTGTTGCTGTCTGAACATTCATCTGCTGAAAGTTTTCCATTTTGTTTATTATTTAGAACGTTTTTACTTCTTTGAAAAAGAAAAATTAATGAAAAATTGAATGATTTCATATTTGATCTGATTAGACAGAACAACAATGTAATATGTCTGGAGGACAAAAGTGTGAAATTACTTTTTTTTTAAAGAACAGGCTCTAAAATAAATGACAAAATCCCCTAATGTTAAAAAAACAGCCTGGCTTTGACTTGGATTACATTTCCTAATATTTTGTATGATAATAATAATAACAATAAAAATCATTGTTGTTATTAATAACAATAATTATTACCACTATTACTGTATAATTATTAATGTATTATTTTATAATTATATTATTATTTAATTATATAATAATAATAAAACAATAAAATAATTATGTTCATTATCATTATCATTATTATTAATATTATTATTAGTAAAAAGCATGTCTGACCAGACTATTTTGAAAATACCATTAGTTTGAAGTCCCAGTTCTTTACACTGCCAGGTTCCAGTTCAGTTTTCTCTGTCAGTGTTTGTGTTTCCTCATGGGAACGTCGGCTCTGTTTGACCTGGCAGCAGATCTAAAGTTCTCCCTCCCTCTCCCTCCCTCCCCTTGTTTTTAAGGTGGGCTCCTACGGTGGTAAACTCAAATACACCATCTCCTACGTGGCCGGATCCAGAGGAACGCTGCTTGAAGATGCTGACGTTCAGATTATTGTGAGTACACTCTCACTGATAGACGTCTCTCTGAGTTGGTGACCTGTTTTTTATTCTCACTACTGCCGTTGTTCCATTCAGGGAAACGACATCACTCTGGTCAATCGTCAGCCGTGGCAAAGGAGGCATCAAGGCAGCAGAGAGACTCAGAAGTTTGAGATTGTTTTCAGAGAGGTGAGACGCTCTCGACAACTGAGCCAGGACCTCCTTAAAACAAGGAAACAGAATTACATAAAAAAAAAATCAGATATTGTCGTTTAACTCCTGTTTTTGATCCTTAGGAAAACTGGAACCGTCCCGATGGAATGCCCGCGACCCGTGAACATCTGATGATGGTTCTGGCCGATCTGGACGACATTCTCATCAGAGCCTCTTACTCCTCTGAGATGAGATCCTCCAGCATCTCTGACGTCGTCATGGAGGTTGCTGTGCCCAACTACAGCGGCTTGGCACAGGCCCTGGAGGTGGAGCAGTGTCGCTGTCCCCCTGGATACCAGGGTCTCTCCTGTGAGGTAATTGTTTTAACACCTTCAGCTGACTTTTTTTTTGTTGGGATTTCAACCATTGTAAACCACTGTATCTGCACCATGTCATCCTGCAGGACTGTGCCCCTGGATACACTCGTACCGGTGGAGGTTTATACCTGGGTCACTGTGAGCTCTGTGAATGTAACGGCCACTCTGAGTCCTGCCACCCAGAGACAGGCATCTGCACGGTAGGAAACACCAGATCAGTGCCGACAAACTCAAAGGGAATTGGAGAATTAGAGTCGTAAATTAATTCATGAATTTAGTAAACATTATTGCTGCATGTTTACTATAGACTTTTTATCCATTTTAATCCAACAATACTTTAAGCTTAGCTAAAGTGGGCCATATAAAGTGATAATGCGGGCCACCTCTGGTCCATGGGCCTTGAGTTTGACAACCTATTTGATGCACACAGATATTGAACAAAAAATATGCCTTTCTCTCTGCAGAGCTGCCGGCACAACACCCAGGGTGAACTCTGTGAGCAGTGTGCCCCTGGTTTCTTCGGTGATCCAACCGTTGGCACCCCGGAGGACTGCCAGCCGTGTGCCTGCCCTCACACTGACCCCGACAACCAGTGAGTACTGGCACAGACCACCAGTTCTCACATTCCACTGCTGTTTGTAGCCGAGGCCAGACTGCGGCCGACGCATTTGATGTTGTCTGCCTCGTGTTTTGACTCCTCATCGACATCTCCTATCTTGGAGAGAACAATTTAACGTCATAACGTGGATTGAAAATAACCGCCCACCTGCCGTTGTTGGGCGTCACATGGTACCATAATTACACTGGTGCCATTTGTCAGCTGCTACATCACAGTGACTACTTTTAAACAACAACATGGAGCATAACTTCAGCGTCACTTCATCTGATATATTTTGAGACAAAGAAAAATCAGGGAAACAGAATTACATGTACAGCCCGCGGGCCGAAGTCGGCCCACTAGGGTGTTCAATCTGGGCCGTTTGAGTTTTAAAAGTTCTGTTTCAAAAGATGTTTTGTTAAATTATATTTCATTAAATGTATTTTCTAATACTTGTACTTATTTGGAGGAGGGGAACAAACATGTACTGGTCCGGCCCACTTCACAGCTAATTAGGCCATATGTGGCCCCTGAATCAAAATGAGTTTGACACCCCTACACTAGGCTGTTTATGTGCAAAAAAAAAAAAGCTCTTTAAATTTAAATTCCATGAAAGTCTTAGAAGTATTTTTCCTAATACTTCATTTAAAAAAAAAAAACGGGTTCCAGTCTTGTCACTGTTTTGGCAGAAGAAGCAAAAGTTTTAAGCAGTGATGTGAGACCGCTGGTAATTAAAGTTTAGGTTTTAACCAAGTGTCATTTTTCTGGGGTCACTTAATTTTGGATCTTATTTCTTTGAGATGTATTTCAGCTCTGTGTGTGTGTGTGTGTGTGTGTGTGTGTGTGTTTTCTCTCTCACGTCAGGTTCTCCCCCACCTGTGAGAGCCTGGGGAATGGAGGTTACCAGTGCACTGCCTGTCAGCCGGGCTACACCGGCCAGTACTGCGAGCGGTAAGATAAAACCCACACCGTCTCTTCCCGTGGGTCCAAACTGGTTTTATTAACGAGGTTGCATTTCATTATTTGCACGTCTCGCTCTTCAGCTGCGCTCCGGGATATGTCGGCAACCCACAGGCGAGAGAGAAGTGTCGTCCTTATGATGGTACGTTGACCTTTGACCCTGACGGATTGTCACCAAACTGTAATAAATCTTCTTTATTTGTCTTCATCTTTATTTTCATCTCCCTTCAGTAAATCATTCAGAGTTTATCAGACACAGTGACCACCAATAAAACACAGAATACTAATATTAGAGGAATCCAAAAAAAATTCTAAGGAAGATTAAAAATTAAAAAAAGACTTAAAAAGAGTAAAAGTTAAACAAACATATTTCTCTGTGAACGAAACAAATGTATTTTGGCTCTTGTCAATCAGAAACAGACTCAACTTTATATATATATATAATGTGTTTATATATACATATATGTATATATGTACAGTATATATACACATATGTATATATATACATTTTTGTATATATATGTACAGTATATATACACATATGTATATATATACATTTTTGTATATATATGTACAGTATATATATATATATATACATTAGATTAAAGTAGATTATTTTGGATTGGATTGGGCTCGGTTAGATTAGTTAAATGTAGATTAGATTAGATCCAGGTTAAATTGGATTAGTATTGGATTAGATTACATTAAGTTGATGCTTGACTCATACTTGACTGGATATTGTTGATATTGCACTTCAGTGCGGGGATAAATGTATGCATGTCCATTGAATTACTAAAAAAAATTGACCAAATGGATCAGAACCAGTATCTGTGTGTTTATCACTCAGAAGTCCCTGCTGAGATTGTTGTCTCCTCTTTGCAGCTGCAGCTTCACTGGTGGTGAGGATTCACCCAGAGAGGGTCTTATCACCCCAGGGTGGTTCTGTCACTCTGAGGTGTCAGGTGTCCGGCTCTGCACCGCACTACTTCTACTGGTCCAGACAGGATGGACGGCCCATATCTAGCAGTACATTAAGACGCAGACAGGGTAGGACGACCCCGCCTCCAGACACTGACCTACAGACTGAAGTCCAGGGATGAATTATGTACTTATGTGATAATGTGTGTGTGTGTGTGTGTGTGTGTGTTCAGGAGCAGAGCTGTTCTTCCCCAGTGTCCAGCCCACTGACGCCGGTGTCTACATCTGTACCTGCCGCGATCAGCGCAGCACCAACCGCAGTCATGCTGAGATTGTTGTCACAAGTGAGTTTTCGTGAAGCTGTGAATAGAAGCTAGCCCAGATCAAGGCGAACTGTTTCGGTGATATTAACATTGACATGAATTAAAGTTAACTTCTGATGAACATTACATGTGATATTAACATTGACATGAATTAAAGTTTTATTACAATAAAAATCTGAAAACAACTGCTGTAAAAATCACTGCCTTCATTTCACCAGGTTCTCCATCCAAAGCCATTGAGGTGACGGTTGAGGAGCCTAAGGCCCAGACGGTCAGAGTGGGGTCTACAGTCAGTTTCATCTGTACTGCAAAGAGCAAGGTAGTACTGTTAATGACTTAGTACTGTAAATGACTTAGTACTGTAGATGACTTAGTACTGTTAATGGCTTAGTACAGTTAGTGATTTAGTACTGTAGATGACTTAGTACTGTAGATGACTTGGTACTGTTAATGACTTAGTACGCTTATTGACTTAGTACTGTAGATGACTTAGTACTGTAGATGACTGTGTCCTGTTAATGACTTAGTACGCTTATTGACTTAGTACTGTAGATGACTAAGTACTCTAGATGACTTAGTACTGTTACTGACTTAGTACTGTTAATAACTTAGTACTGTTAATGACTTAGTACGCTTATTGACTTAGTACTCTAGATGACTTAGTACTGTAGATGACTGTGTCCTGTTGATGACTGAGTACTGGTAATGACATAGAGCAGGAGACACTTCCATACAGTCAGTTAAAGCTAGCTTTAAACAGATTCTGTGGACGAGTGTAAATGTCCAAGTAAAATAGTTCTGGTCAAATTCATTATAAAAACCAGGTTCTGTGTCTGTCTCCGCCTCAGTCTCCTGCCTACACACTTGTCTGGACCCGGATTGGCAACGGGAAACTTCCCAACCGGGCCATGGACTTCAATGGAATCCTGACTATTCAGAACGTCCAGCCTGAGGACGCTGGTGTCTATGTTTGCACAGGCTCCAACATGTTTGCTATGGACGAGGGCAGTGCGAACCTCTACGTGCCAGGTTCGTGATCCTCGGCATCACATTCCATCGCCTCTCATCCCCTGTTTTCCCCCGATCGGCTCTGGCTCCTGTAGTTACCCACCCTAAGTTCAAGCCCCTCCCCCACCCCTTCCCCGCTCACCCTCCTGCTTGTAATGGCGCATGCTTTTTGTTCAGTTTGGCTGCATTTACTATCATGCTCTGGGCTAACAGCGTAATAAGCTTGCAGTTCTAACTCCAAACGCTTTTGCATTTTGCTTACAAATTACCTGCGTAAAATCCACGTACGACCAGAATACTGAGCGATCGTTCCATAAGAAAGACAAAAACAATAAAATAACGCATGGTCCACAATCTGATCTGTTGACACTGAGGCTGTCAACGTTTGCGACAATAAAAAAATGCAACGTGGATTTGGCAAGTTTGGAAATGAGAAAAAATTCGTACAAAAAAAAAAATCAAAATTTCATTGTAATTATTAAAAAAAAACATTAAGGCTTAAACTTCCTAGACACTTAGTCTGTGAGTTTTTTGTTTGTTTTAAAGTATGTGCCAGGAATTTCATCCCAAGCCTTTTTAAGTCCCTCATTGAGAGACTGCAGATTTGTGGGACTTATGGATCCAAACACAATCTCACCTGGAGACAGTTGTTTTTCCACCTCTATCACCTCCAAAACCTTTAATTGACTCAGCAGAGCTCAGGTTGTTTTTCTGGGAGAAATAAATCCATTCATCCGCAGAGGTATTAGGAAGTAAAATCTCCTCAAAGAAACGACTAATAAAGCCAGAGAATCAGTTCTGTTGACCAACAAAAGTCAGTTTGGATCTCGGGTTAAATCCTATAGTCAGTGTGGAGAGTTGACGGTGCCTTAGTTTGGTATCTGCAGGTGAAGAGTTGAAGGTTTCATGAAAAGGAAACAGTTCTACTTCATCCTCCCACATCAGAGTGAGGGTTACTAAGACAAAAAAAAAACAAGTTGTCCCCCAAAAAGTCTGTCTTATTGTGTCTCAAAAAAAAAAACAAGTTGTTCTTATTGTGTCCCCAGACCTGTCTCCATTTCAGCTTGTCTGCAGAAGAGCAGAAAAGTCAGGGGTCTCAGCGGTCTGTCACTGATGATCAGTTCCTGCCGCATACTTTTAAAAAAAAAACTCAGGAATGACTCCTGGGTTTAGATTATGCTGTTATTAAAGTCAGAAAAAGAAAAAAACACCCAGGAGTTAAAGTGAAAATATATTCCGACATATACCTAATGCTACGTTTCTTTGTCCATCGTTATTTCATTCCAACATTTTCCACATTTCCCAGTCACCCAGTGGAGTTGTATCACTCTGACGTCTACCACGGCGCTCTTACGACTTCTAAAAGTGCTGAGCGTGACGAATCTCCCAGATAACTTAGCTGTGAGGTGTATGTGACTGTGTGGAGCCCGAACTACTGATGTCAATTCCTGCCAACTCAGGAAATTCATCCGTTTAAATATGTCTCAAAGGACATCATTAGAAAGCAGAGAGGGACATGTGTTATATATATATTCTGTCCAATTCAGTGAAAATGTCCAACTCTCCAAGGCTTGTATGAAAAGTTGATTGTGGATCCATCATAACGAGAACTCCCCAGATCGTCCAAAACCCGCCCCTCACCCCCCGTTTTTACCCGCTGCTTGTCTGACTGCTGGTTTTTTGTTTTTTTTTTTAACTTTCTGTCTGTTCTGTGTCTGATCTCTGGACTTTTCTATGCTTTAAATGAAGAAATACAGCTTGTGGGTCTCGTGGTTAAAGAGAACTGTTAATCATATCCAGCTCAGGATGCAGGTTCAGAACTTTTTCTTTTTGGAGCAGTGGTGAAAAATTTAGCAACACTGAACTTCTTCCCTTCTTGATTTTTATTTTTCTCTACAAATCAGTTAAATTAATTGGTGGTGGTTTGGTTCACTTGCCCAGTCGCTGATTGCTGCTGTTAGAGGTTTGACCAGCAGGGGTGCAGGGTTCTGGTGTCTGTCTTTAACTCTGGGCTGGGCCCCCCCTCCCTGTCTGAGCCCTGGTGTAATAATAACAATGATACAGAGCAGAGTGGAAGACAGAACGGACGGACTCTTCAGGCCGAGGACGTCGTCGTATCTGGGAGCGTGTACTTGTCGCCTGTGTTGTACGTCTCGATGCAGTATTCCTTTCCCGTCGCGTTACTCGACTCCGTCGTCCTGACGATGAATGTCGGCGAACGCAATTGGTGCTAAAAACCTGCATCTGGTAAAAATCTGTGTTTGAATAAACAACTTTATTTTCCAACTTCAGCCGCGTCAGAAATCGGTTCCGTTCACGCTGATAGTTAGTTTTCTGGTTGTTGAATATTTAATATTTTTTACACATTAAGGAATTCTTAAAAAAAAAAAAAATCATTATTATGTGTCATCGACAAAATTTTATATTTTATATTTTGACTGAAATGATGTTAACCAGAACTGTTTTAATGAAATTAGATTTATCAGAAATGTTTGATTTTTTTGTTTTTGTTTTTTTAAGGTAAAGAAAATTGTCTGCGATTTTTATGTGTTAACTTCTAGAATTCCAAATGTTTTATTAGGCTGAAAATCTTGCACCTCAACAAACCTTTTTTTTTTTCACTTTTTAAATATACTGTGTGTGATGCCAACGTACTGAACGGTGCTCCTGTAAAGATTTCTCTTGTCACTCCACCCGTGTCTTTGACGGACGTGTAGCCCATGTATTGTACACCTGACACATTTTAATGTATTTATCTCAACTGTGAAAGTATTTTCTGGAAAAAAAAGACAAAAGTAATTAAAGTTATGAAAATAGCTCCGACCGATTGATGGACGTGTCTTGAGGAAAACCACAAGCTGTATGACGGCTGCAGTAACGTTAGAATTCTTAATGTGTGTTTTTTTTTATGCTTCTTGCTACTAACCTGCATGGCTAATGTTTTCGCTACACTGCAAAAATCTCATCTCCTCCTCGGCTGCTTGATGACTGAGTGGTGATATTTGTCATTTGTTGTTTTGTTTGGAAAAGACAATGTTGGAATGTGTATTATAACTGTGAATGATATACTGGGAACAATATATTTATATATGTATTGTATATAAATATATATACATATAAGTATATATGTTTATATATATATTGTATATATGTATGTGTATATATATATACATACATATATCATATATGTATGTCTGTATGTACATAAATATATATGTGAATATATATATATATGTATGTATCTGTATATGTAAATACACTGTACCAGGTAAGTATAAAGTGGTTAAAGCCATTACCAAATGTCACCAATTATCATAAAATATACAATATAAAATAATTACGATAATAACAATTTCAAATAATACCAAAATGTCACGGTGGTCTGGTTGGAAGTTTTTTTTACGTCATGTCTGACCCGTCATCAGAGTCAGTCAGACCAAACCACCACCACAGCCCACAGTTTGCAGATGGATTGTAGGCGTCTCTGAGGAGATGGAAGGTAAAACCACTGCTGCCTCTGGAGAACTGACCTGTCAGTTTACCTGTCCCCCTCCCCCTCCCCCTCTCCTCCCACATCTTCAGAGGCGTCACAGACTCAGATGTTTTACACAGCCTATGAAATGTTTGAAGGACACAGAACGTGTAAGTCCACATGGGCGCGGTTTCCTCTCCGCCGGGCTCCCTGGAGAGACTGGCCTCTCCCTCTCTCGTGTCATGCATGCCCTCACCCTCCGCAGCATGACCACGCTGGTGGTCCATGACTGGTAGCGCCCATGTACAATCAGCCAAGCATCTCTGACAATCTCTCACCATCAAAACCAGAGGTTCTCAACCACTGGGTCATGGACAGGAAGTGGGGTTTTAGTCATATGTGATCTGGACACAAGTAGAGCAAAACTTTTTGTTTGTTTTTAACAATACAGGACAAACACGCTTTTTGTTTGTTTTTAACAATACAGGAATCTTTCCTAGTTACAAACAAACACTTTTAACAAATGATGGAATCCTGTTAAATTAAAAGTCTTCATAAAGTCAGGAGATGAGCCTTTAGTTGCACTTACAGTCCTAACCATCAGGGTCATCTGACCCAGTGGTTCTCAGTTATTTTCTGTCAAGCCCCCCCCCCCCAGAAATGTTTTTACACCCCCTCCGACCCACAACCCCACAAATTGAAATACTATTGAGAACCTGATAACGTATATTTCTGTACAAACCACAGTATGAGTTGCTGCCACCTAGTGACTGGAGGCTTGTTGTCATTCAAGCATTACAGCAGTGGTACACGAAGTACTGATTTGACCTAAAATTTATTTGTATTTTTTTTAATTTACGATTTTATGTAAACAATGTCAGTTGGTCCGCACCCCTATGGAGGACTTTATCCCTAGTGGACCAAAAGTGTAAGACAATTAGATCAGTATTTCTGGTGGATTCTTTAACTCTGAACCCTCCCTGTATAATATCTGGAGTCTCTTTGATTTTATTGGGGTTTTTAACCCAGATCAGTGTCACAAAAAAAGGTTGGCGACCTCTGGTCTAAACTGTACTACAGTATCTAACACACGGTACATTCATTTCTACTACGGTACCTGTATTGTTGTTCTTGGTGTGGTGTTTAGTTCAGAGCCGATGCTTCTAAGGTTGTACATGAGCGTCACCGTCTTCCATCATCTTCTCTTTTTGAGTTCACCTGGGTCCATCACTGCAGGAACGTGCATGTTCCTTCTCGGGCAAGTTCTGATGAATGTTGAGGCTGATTTCTGTCGGAGAAGTAATTACTTTTTTTTAATTATTATTACAATTTTTTTTATTTATACACAAGACCTAAAGATAAACACAACTACTGTCAATTGAACAAATCCAGACATTTTTCTTTTTTTAAAAGTCAGTTTTATTGAAGGCAGCGACCTCTCGACATTCAGGGACATGAAATGCCCCCCCCCCCCCTCTTTTTTTCTCTCTCTTTTTTCTTTTTGCACCCTGTCTTTTTTTTTTTTTTTTTTCCGTTTCCTCTTCAGGAATCATTCTGTTCTAGGAAACAGCTGTAATCTGGTCTTCAAACATCATACTGTGCTTAATACATCCCATCACACCCTTATGACATCACAGCTCAGTGTGGGGAGCAGACTGGTGGCCAGTGCGTGAGACAGGCTGTAGTTTCTTGGGAAAAAAGTCGTTTTCTATTTTATCTTTATTTAACCTGTTTTTTTTTTAACTTAAATTATTACAAATGTGATTCAAATTAATAGAAATTACAGGACTACTCACAGAGCTCCAGCCTCTGTATTTGTCCCAGAGGAAAAAAAAAACGAAAAAATGAACCCCTTGCCCTCAGCAGCCTCGGTGGCATTAAGTCACACCTCCGTCTGAGCCACTACTGTCCTGAGAAAATGTGGGCCTGCTCAGATAGCTCCACACTTCCCAGCTTCTTATGAAAGGAGCCTTTCTTTACTCCGTCACACTGGGATCATAGAGGATTAAATATGAAGTGGAACAGCCGGCCAAGCTGGCACGGACGGCACTGAGTCCAGAGGCCATGCCAGGTCCTCACTGACACGTCTCATCTGGTCTGTCTGTTCTGTGGACGGAGACGCCAAGAGTGACGGTGTCACTGGCAGAGACCACGGCAGTGCAGATGGATGGATGGATGGATGGAGAGATGGAGAGATTGATTCATAAGTGAATGGATGGATAGTTTAACATGAATAGAAATGTTGATTAGAGTAATGGATGGATGAGGGAAAATTAAAGTGGAATTAATGAATGTATGGATGGATGATTAGATGGATGGATGATTAGATGGATGGATGATTAGATGGATGGATGATTAGATGGATGGATGATTAGATGGATGGATGATTAGATGGATGGATGATTAGATGGATGGATGATTAGATGGATGGATGATTAGATGGATGGATGATTAGATGGATGGATGATTAGATGGATGGATATATGTTATAGGTTGATAGATGATTGGTTGGGTTGATGAATGTGTAGATGGATGGATGTATACATGTATTGATGGATGGATGACTTGTGGATGGACAGATGGATGTTTGGATGGATAAGACACTGATGGGTTGATGATCCTGATCACTAATCAATAGAAACGTGATAATATTGTTTACCAGTCAAATCCAAACAGGACATAAATCAGTGTCAAACAGTCAAATAACATCAGTCTGCACCTGAGTCAGTGGGGTAAACCTAAAGTCCAGGAAAACAAACCCGTGGCTCGTGTCTTGAGCTGTGGTCATACGTAGACTTCCATCAGAGGTTCTCTCTTCATCTTCATCTTCATCACCCCAGTCTGTGGACCTGCAGTCTGTATCATCCTCAGTCCTCACTCCTGACAAGTCCCTGTGTCCAACTGTGTTTGACTGATGTGTCTGCCTCTGTAGCTGGAGAAGGGGCCCAACCTGTGGCCACCGTTACTCCCCCAGCGCTCAGCGTCCAGCAAGGCCAGCGAGCAGAGTTCCGATGCACGGTGACAGGGAATCCGACCCCCGCGGTGGAATGGATCAGTATGACCGATTATGAATTACACGGCTTTGAATCGTCAGTCGTCGGTCCAAACGTTGGGTCGCTGATCAGGCGCTGCTGCTGTGTTGTTACAGGAGGACCAGGAAACAGGATGAGTCCCAGGGCGGTGATCCGAGGTGGAGTTCTGACCTTCACAGCTGTGGACCCGGCTGACCAGGGAGAATACATCTGCAAGGCCCTGAACACTCACGGAGAACACACAGCAAGTGTTTCCCTCCTAGTACAAAGTACGACCTCACACACACACACACAGATCATTTTTAATGCCAGGTGTTAAATTTACCGCCACCTACTGGACAGGAGTGTGAGCATCAATGTTACTAATTTGATTTTGCAAAATTTTATTTACGCTTCATATTTTGTGATCAGGTTCAAATATATTTGTATGTGAAGTCTATACTCAAAAAATATTTAAAGGTAAAAATTATGAAATATACAAAAGAAATTAGCGTGAAGTCTGCGATGCTGTCACATACCAGTTGTGGTCCACAAAATTACATTTACATGAGCTAACCTTTGTGATGGTCAAACCACTTAGTGACTGTGCTGATTTTGGTTTCACTTTTTTTTTTTAATCTCCTTGATGACGTTGTCTGGTCCGTCCTGGACAGAGTCCAACCCCAGTGGCCTCGGAACTCAGCCTCAAGTCCAAGTCAGTCCCCAGAACATCGAGGTCCATGAAGGAGAAACTCTGCGGTTGTACTGTCGAGCATCAGGGTCCCCCACCCCCAAGCTCACCTGGCTGAAAAACGGAGGTCAAATCCCCCCTCAGGTGAGGCGCCCCCTGCAGTCTCATTCCCTGAATTGTACCTTTAATATGGTTCAGTTAAAGCTGTCGTCTCATTGTGCTGTTCCTCTGTCATGCACCTCAGGGTGCCTCCGATGACGATGACACTTCATTTAAACGCTGCCTCTCTGTACGACTGTTTCAGCATTTTGACCATTGACCTCTATTTTTCCCTCCCTTCTGTTTGTCTCCTCCCCCCTTTTTTTTGATCCCGCCCTGTCGTGACACTCACTCAGGCCATTCCTTCTCACGGTTTCCATCAGTATAAAAGCAACAGTCTCGATGTGTTACAGAGACGTATTGAGGAGCTGCAGGTCTGTCCATCTGTCTGTCTGTCCTGTCTCACAGCTCACAGCCATTGTCCACTACTGACCTTGTCCTCACACGCTGTCCACTAAGTGCATGATCAAAGTGTCGTTGATTCACACCCTGTCCATCGACAACAGCCGCTCATGTGCTTCACTCAGAGCTGGTGCCGAATCAAATCAAGTCAAATCAAATCTGTGGGTCTGGGCCACGTCTTGGTGCCAGTGCATGCGGTACTTGTCTTTATGTGGCGTCTAATTATTGTGCTGGTCCTAGAGTTCATCGTGTTGTCCCTGTCATTGTCCACATCACATCATCCATCATGTGTTTAAGCTCCTGGCATCTCACATCCAGATCAGATTAGCCTACGGTCGGTGTCGCAGGTATTTCAGTGCCAGTTTTCTCGGTGCCAGACGCAGCCTCCTTGCCCCCCCCCCCATCCTCGTCCCCGTGCCCTGCAGGGTGGTTTTTGTCAGTCTGGTCTTTCGCTCAGCCAGAGTTCTGTTTAGTTCTGCCTCGGGGCCACTGCCTTGTGTCAGCCTTTCCCAGGGGGAGCCAGGCTCTGCCGCTCGACCACGCAGAAACTCTGTATGCTCTGGCAAACGGCTTGCTTTGAAAACCCGTCAATGGATTCAGACTCACGCTGAGCCAGGGCCCGCCACGGCCGCCGCTCGGTTTAGCTTCCACCATGGTTGAATGGCCCGGAGCTAAGCAGCTTTGTCCATGGATGCTTCACCGTACTCCGGATACAGTAATCCCCAACCAACCCCCCCACCTCCCTCTGCCCCAGACACCACTCCCCTCTGAGGTGTTGAGAAACATTAAAACAGACAGACAGTTTTCAGCCCTTTTTTAGCGTTTGACTCTCGTGTGTAGTCGTGTAAACGAGTTTGTAAAGCTGTTGAAAACAATGCAGAGGTTTTGGGTTTTTTTTTTTACTTCCAGTCTGATGTGAGGTTCTATGGCATTTTAGTCATTATTCAGAGATTACGTTGATGTTTAGCGCCCCTCCTGGAATATTTGTGTAACAACAATCGTTAACTTTCATGTAATCATTAATTCCAGAGTAAAATGTGTCTAGCCAACATAGTTACCACTAATCATAGCATAGATTAACCTCATAATCTTAGAAATTTTGCCACAGCTGTAGAACTTGACGTTCGAAGTAGGGCTGTCAATCAAGTTAAATATTGAATTTGGTTAATAATCATGATGAATTAACAAATGAATTCATCGTGATTAATCGAGGTAACTTGTCATTCCTAAATATGACAAAATAAATGGCTCCTGTAAATGAAAGACAATTAACATCAGGTCGATGTATTTATATGTTTCACATATGTTTTTATTTGTGACTAATCCAAATTTTGGAATTATATATTTTTTAATTATATCGTCAGTGGATTTTAATGATTACTGCACTGAAGTTTCCACAAATGCCTTGTTTTTATGAAGATGGTATTTTAAGCTCAAGGTGCTTCAGTGTCCATTTTGACAGCCCTAGTTCAAAGTTCTGAGCTGCAGAAATGATGGAAGAAACTGAACTGTAGCCATAACAGCTCTTGTCCTGTGTCTCAGAGTCACACCGTAGTGCTTTTGTCTCTCCAGCAGCTACTGTAGCAACGTCACAATGTCAGCAGTGTCATATATACAGTACATACATACATATATACTGCCTATGTGTGTATGTGTTGTTTCCACAGCAGTGACAAAGGTAAGTGCCGTGCTTTGTCTTCATGCATTAATCACTGCTTTTAGACGTGACCGCTCACATTCAGCACTGTGTCGCTGTGCAGTCAGTGTTTGAACGACGACCGCCGCCTCCATCCAACTCATCTCTGAACGTCGTCTTCTCTCCAGGCCCACATGGACCGCACAGATATAGGCACTCTCCTCATCCCCAACATCAAGTTGTCCGACTCGGGCACCTACATGTGTGTCGGCAGCAACAGCATCGGCTCCAACAGTGCTCCCATTAAGGTCACGGTGCTCAAAGGTCAGTTCACCTGGAGATTTACACTAGTTTAATACAGTGGTGGCTGCCAGTGGGGGGCCTCGGAGAGCCTCAGAAAATTGAAGCAGGGAAAAAATAAAACACAGAAAGACAATGACACACAATGTGACGCATGATTTTTTCTTTTTTTTTTTTTTGAGCAGGCGGCCACAGCTCCAGTGTGGTCACCATTCAGCCTTCTATAGCTGATGTCCAGGAGGGTCAGAATCTGGAGCTCAACTGTTTTGCTCCTGGAAATCCTCCTCCCAAGGTCATCTGGACCAGAGTCAGTGGACACCTGTCGTCCAACCACCAGGTAATTAGAAACATATTTTTAAAAAATTCTCAACATGCATTCTGAAGAATGAAAAAAATAAAATGTTAAGTCAATACTTCCCCACACCTGCTTAAATTACCTCCCTCATGTAGAATAACAAAATTTTATTTATTATGTTATGCTTAAAAGTCTTTGTATATTTTATTTATTTAAGTGCATTATGGTATGTTGGTAGTTACAATGCTTAAAAGTCTTTGTATATTTTATTGATATAAGTGCATTATGGTATATTGGTAGTTACAGACCAGTGATTATCAACTGGTGGCCCACAGGCCAAATCTGGCCCACCAAACAATCTAATCTGGTCCCAACTGGATTCCAAAATTTTAAAAATATCATGTGGCATAAAAAATATGTAAACAATAAACATCAAGTAAAAATGTTAGACAAAAATGTGATATTTATTTAATTTATTTGAGTGTCCGGACCCTAAGGTATCTGTCCAGAAAACCTCTGGAACCTCTGACAAATATATTTGTTGACGCCTGTTTAGACAAAAATTGAAATCTGGGAGTAGATTTAATTTTCTATGCTGGACCAAAGAGTGTCCCGACTTTATTCCAGGTTCTGGGCAGCCGGCTGCTCATCCTCTCGGCCTCTCCTGAAGACTCGGGAGAGTATATCTGTCGGGTGGAAGACAACACTGGACAGATCGGATCTCATGTCCATCAGGCCTCAGTGTCAGTGTCTGTGACGTCATCATCTTCACGTGAGTTCCTTTGTGAGGCAGTAAATGCGGGAAGCTACGTCTGGATGTTTAATACGGCTGCACACTGCAGGTGTTGTCACCAGGTGGCAGCTGTGAGAACCACAGGCAGGACAGGACGTTCAGAGCAGTGGTTCTCACACTAACTCTGGATGACTTTATGAACCGACTCCAGTTCTGCTCTCCAGTGCAGTCCACCATGTGCTGTGAAAGATTTTCTCTCCCTGCTTCTATCCCATGATCTCATCCTCGTCCTCTCCTCCTGGACTTTAGCTGTGTGTCTCATTTCTCCGCCGGTAGCCAAGAGTCAGTCCATGGACACATTGAAAAGCAATTTGTCACTGGAAACTCTCTGAATTATTAATCGCCTCAATAACATGAGATTCTGGAAATGAATGATGAGAAAAATAAATCACTCCGCAGCTCTAACGGAGATATTTTCTGCTGCAGGTCTTCAAAGTCCAATCATTGCCATCGAGCCTCACAGTACTACTGTCCGCGTGGGAGAGTCTGCCACCTTCAGGTGCAAGGTGTACAGTGGAGCACAGCCTGTTAGACTGGAGTGGAAATTGGCCAACAGTCAGCCGTTGCCAGGTAGAGCCCACACACACACACACACACACACACACACTGTGAAATCACAGAGAGATGACAAACCAGAGCCACGGCTGCTCAGTTTTCTCATCTTTTCACTGTATTCACTGGAGCTGGCAAAATTAAAAAGTCAACCAAGTTAATCAATTTGTGTAATTAATACAATCTGAATTTTTTAATTTTATTATAATAAACAAAGTTGTTTTCATGCACAAAACAAAGTCAATGTGCTGTACAGTGGTTCAAAAAGTAAAATATAAATACCCTCACATCAGCCGAGGAACAACTCCAAATCATTACTTTAATAATTAATAATCAATTATTATTAATAATAATAATAATTTATATTAATTATTATTATAATTAATTAGTATAAAATATTTTATATTTTTAATATATGTATGCATATATAATCAAATATTATAACAATAATTAATAATTAAAATTCACTCATTAATTAATCATTATTAATCATTATTAAACACAACACATGGGCAGAGTGCACTGTATATTCCAAATATCCACCTTTCAGCCACCTATCATTATTTCATCCTTGGCTCCGACCCTGAATCAAAGACAAATGTTTTCAAAGTCAGTTTTTTAAAAAACAACAACAAAACAACACAAGTCTCCTGTTTTGTCCCTACTTGTCCTTTGTTTCTGCAGACAATGTCAAAGTTAGTGCAGACGGCTCCACTATGGTCATCACCCGCGTCACCTCTGGTAACCACGGCACCTACCGCTGTGTAGCCAGTAACCCGTTCGGCATCACCCACACCATCGTGTCTTTGATTGTCAAAGGTCAGTTACGTTTCCATGGTCATGTGACCTCCTGACTCCTGGTACGGTACATGGTTCTCTCTGTGGACTCAGCTGATCATCATTTAAAATGTGTTGTTATCCGCTCAGAGTCTCCCGTAGCCGTAGTGACCCCTGTTGGACCCGTGCGAGTCAGGGTGGGGGACCCCATTAACCTGGAATGTCAGGCGTCAGGTGAACCACGCCCCTCAGTCTCCTGGCACCGGCTGGACAACAACAGGAAGACAATGCTGAGAAGCCCTGTGCCCATGGACTCTAATGCAGTCATGCAGGTACTGATGTGCAGAGCACAAGCCAACAATCAAACATTTTATTTTTTATTTTGTTCATAAACCGTTTCCCTCCCGTCCAGATACTCGTGGCGCGGCCTGAAGACAGCGGCATCTACGTTTGCACATCTCGCAACACAGAGGGCGCCACTGAGACCAAGGTGGAGGTGATTGTTGAAGGAGGACCTCAGCTCCCATCAGTGCCCAGAGCCTCTGTCCCGGAGCCGCTGATGATTGTGGTGGAGGGACAGACGGCAACGCTGCGCTGCGACGCCCACGGTAACGAGTCGCTGATTCAGGTCTCTGTAGAACTCTTTTAACTCGAGTCGGTCTTCAACCTGCGCGGTTCTTTTCCAGGTTTCCCTTCACCAACAATTACCTGGTCCAAGCTGCGTTCCCCTCTGCCGTGGCGACACAAGATAGTGGACAACAACCTGGTGCTGCCCAGTGTGGGCCGCCAAGACTCTGGAGAGTACATCTGCAGTGCCACCAACCACATGGGCACCACTGATGTCACCATCGCGCTGGATGTAGAAAGTAAGATTTCTAGCTTTTGTCATTTCCTTGTTTTATCAGTGATAATCAATGGGCTACATCTGGGCCACTATACTGTCCAATCACGCCCTCGACTGGATTCCAAAATTGTTCGGATCAAAGAGAAAATATTGTGTGATTTTTATTTAGACCTGACAAAGATTTAAATCTCCTGTCTCCTGTCTGCAGCTCTTCCTTACGCCACCTCCGTGCCTGACGACGTGGCCGTGCGGGTCGGTGAGGTGATCCGACTGCAGTGCCTGGCCCACGGCACTCCACCTTTGACCTACGTTTGGACCAAACTGGATGGAAACATATCACCCAGGGCCCAGATCAGCAGCGGGGACCTGCAGATCGACCTGGCTACCGCCGAGGATGCTGGGAACTACAAGTGTGTGGCCAGCAACAAAGTGGGCCACAGTGAAGTAGTGGCTAAAGTCACGGTCCGCTGTAAGTTTGATGACAGTGTTTATCTTTGTACTTGGTCTAAAGTTCAAAGCTGGGACAAACAGTAACATCCGTCTGTGTTGGTTTCCTCTGCAGCTCCTCTGGCCGTGCGTGTTTCACCCCAGGTTGAGGTCAAGGCCCAGGGCAGTGCTGTGGAGTTCACCTGCTCAGCAGCAGGAGGTGTTGATACCAAAATTGAGTGGCTGAAAGAAGGAGGTGCCCTGCCACCAAATCACCACGTCAAGGACGGCGTCCTCAGGTAACCTGTCCTGCAAGAAATGGACCGAGTTCTTCCACACGGAAAGTAGATTTCCAGAGTCACTCTGCATACTTGTGGACAAATGAAGTTCCACACGGAAAGTAGATTTCCAGAGTTACTCTGCATACTTGTGGACAAATTAAGATTTTTTTTTTTTAATTAGAAGGTCCACATAGAAAATCCACATATTCCAAGTAAAGGTTGTTTTTTTTAAGTACTAGGGTCAAAAATCTCAGAAAAGCAAATGACTTGAAAACTTCAAACAATTTGATGTCAACGTTTCGTTCCATAAACAGGTTTTAAAAATGAAAATCACAGATTTCTTCCATGTGTTTTGTTTAATGTCTCTCTGTAGAATTGAGAACCTTGAGCAGAGCAACGAGGGCGTTTACATCTGCAGAGCCAGCAGTGTTTATGGTCAGGCCCAGGACACGGCCAGGCTGACCATCCAAGGTCGGTTTCAGTGTCAAAAATATTCACCAAATGAAGTCACTCTGGGGGTTTTTTTCACATTTTTCATCACATTTAAATTTCACTTTTCTTTTTTTTTTCATCTCAGCCCTGCCAAAGGTCATGATCAACGTGCGAACATCGGTGCAGACCGTCATGATCGGGAACTCCGTGGAGTTTGAATGCCAGGCTATCGGTGACCCCGAGCCCACAGTCCAGTGGAGTAAAGTGGGCGGGACTTTGCCGGCTCACATCATGGTGAAGGGCGGCATGCTGAGGATCCAGCAGGTGACGGAGGCCGACGCGGGCCAGTACCGCTGCACTGCCACAAACAACGTGGGCTCGGTACAGTCCCAGGTGGTGCTCCACGTGCAGTGTAAGTAGCCCTTGAGGTTACACCTGGTGTGTTTCTAAACCAGCAGCGGCTTCATTAACCAGTCCTGATGTGATGTTTTTTTTTTTTTTCAACCCAGCTCTTCCTCAGATCGCTGCACTTCCGGAAACAAAAGAGGTCACTGTGGGATCGGATGCAGTTTTCCCCTGTGTGGCCTCGGGGTATCCTGTACCTGAGATCAAATGGTCCAAGGTAACCATTGAGTTGATGTACATCATACCAACCTGACTTGAGTCTCTACAACGTGTTTTTTTTTCTTTATCATCCCCTGTCTTTTTAACAGCTGGACACTGAGCTTCCGTCCAAGTGTTTCCAGCAGGACAATATCTTGACGGTTCCTAAGGTGACGCACGAGGACACCGGGACCTACGTCTGCACCGCTTCAAACAAACAGGGCAAAGTGGAGGCGTTTACCTCACTCAAAGTTCATGGTGGGTGTGCTGATTGGATGATGGATGATTGGATCAATTCACGATGTTAACCAACTGGAACATTCTGTTCTCCTTCAGAGCGAGTGATGCCGTACTTTGCACAGGAACCGTTGTCATATCTCACGCTGCCCACCATCAAAAACGCCTACAAGTCCTTCAGCATCAAGATCAACTTTAGACCTGATAATGTTGACGGTAAGAAAGACACGCAAAATTATTTAAAATGAATAAAATGTACATGTTTAACTTCATTAATTTATGTATTTCCTATTGTTATTTGTACCATAATGACCACTGTACATTTTTGCAGAATAAGACAGATTTATTTTTCCTTCCTTGGTTAAAATACACAGGTTTCCTATGTTTAATTCTACTCCGTCTTCTCTCCCCTTCCTCTCACCCACATGGTGTTAAGGTCTGATATTGTACGCTGGTGAGTCTCAGTGCTTGAGAACCACAGAAGCTCCAGGCTGACATTGACATTGACAGAACGGCTTGTTTTGGCTGCATCAGTCATTCACACAACACACCCAGCTTAGGGGCTGTGAAAGAGATGTGATATGTTTGCATGGCCTTTGCTTTCATGCTCTTACAGCCGTCAGTGGAGCAGAACTGGTCTGTGAACCGGTCTTCATCTGTATGTACTGAGCAGCTCCCCACAGAACAGTCAGATAGATATTGCAGACAAAAAATTGCGTATCATATTGTATCACTAGTTGAGTGTATCGTCCCTACTACTCAGTGATCACCGGCCAATCCAGCCCGTGATTGGATTCCAAACCAAAATACACATTTTTATTATGATTTATTCGAGTGTCCGGCCTTCAGACAAATATAGTTGGTGACCCTTTGTTGTTATTATTTTACCATCTAAAAGCATGTCACCTGGAAGAATGAACTCATTGTCATTTTATTGATGAAAATGGTTGCATTTGACAACCTAACTCCAGACCATCATGTCATAACGCGGCTTTGGTCGGCTTCAAACCTGCCTCATTCCCAGCATGCTGCTTCATCTTCTGTTTTGAAGAATCCAAATATATACTGTACATACTGTATACCATACTAACAATATCCGTCCCAACAAGTCATGTCCAGTTCAATATGACCTTTTGTTTTTTTTTTATAAAGATTAATTGTCCAGTAAATTCTATGTACAGTATCTGCGACTTGTTACGACGGATGTTATTCTACAAATAAATATTTTAACGTATGTCTATTCATTTATTAGAAGTACACCATTTAACAGCTACTGCAGTACTTAATATACCTGTGTATGATGTAGGTATGATCCTCTTCAATGGCCAGAGGAAAAGCACAGGCGCTGACTTTGTCTCCCTGGGACTTGTAGGCGGTCGCCTAGAGTTCAGGTCAGTCTAGTTGTCCGATAGTGTTAGTGTCCGTGTTTGTTTTGTTTGTTTTCTTGTTATAATGTGACATTGTTTTTTTAGGTTTGACGTTGGCTCTGGCATGGCCACCATACGAGACCCCAACCCTGTCAAACTGGGAGAGTTCCACACTGTTGAGCTGTATCGTAACCACACCCTGGGATATATCAGCGTAGATGGAGGAGAACCCATTAATGGTAGCTCACAGGTACGTGGCTGATGCTAATGTCCACCTAGCTTCAAAATCAACCTTTTTCAATCAGCTAATGTCCACCTAGCTTCAAAATCAATCATTTAAATTATTTTTATATTTAGCTAATTAGGCTGTATTTTATTACAGAAATTACATTTGTTATATTCTAGATAATGTGCTGTTACTGTTGTATTATTATCATGTCATGGTCAACAAGCTCTCTATGTTTACCAGTCGTTTTAGCATTTTAGCATTCAACTTTTTTGGGGTTTTACCATGACCTAGAGAAAGCTTGGGCTAACTTTTGTTGCTACATGCTAAATATACCTTTGTACTATCTTTGTATTTAGATATTATTAGACTAAACTTTGGCTATTGGACATAAATAGCTTATCTGCTGAGCCATAATGTAGCATGTTGATACCAACTTGTTATTAGGCTAACTAAGTAATTGCTTCTTGTAAAGGGCTAATTAATGATTACTTCTAGAAGCAACATTTTTTAGCCTTGTAAAGGGCTAATTAATGATTACTTTTAGGAAACAGTTATTTATCTTATGAATCTATTTCAAAATGTTAACCTAGCTTGACTGGCACTGTTTTCTTTTGGTAAACTTTATTAGGCTAACTAAGTAATTGCTTCTTGGTAAACTTTGGTAAGCTATTTCAGGGCTGATTGTTTTTGTTAGCACTCCTTCCTGTTCAGCTTACAAACTTGAATACTTATTTGCCCCCTTCAGGGCAAGTTCCAGGGCTTGGATCTGAACGAGGAGCTGCATGTTGGTGGTTACCCCAACTACACACAGATTTCCAAAACTGCCGGCATTAAGTCTGGATTTGTTGGTAAGATATTATTAAAAAACATGGATTAAAATGTTGATATTGAGTAGATTATCTGATCTTTCATATTTGTTCTTCCTGTGCAGGTTGTATCCGTTCACTGGTGATCCAAGGGGAGGAGGTCATCTTCAAAGACCTTGACCGCAGTTCTACAGGTGTCACCAACTGTCCCACGTGTAAAGATCATCCATGTCAGGTACAGTTTTTTTTCCTACTGTGTGTGTGTCGTGGATTTCATGTGTTTTCTATAACAGTGTGGTTTTTACCTTTTGTGTTTTTTAGAATGGTGGAAGGTGTGAGGATTCAGACGCTAGCTTATATAAGTGCGCATGCCCCAGAGGATTCACTGGGAGCAACTGTCAACATCACTCATCACTGCACTGTCACTCAGGTACACGACCACAGACACAAAATGAGTTTAAACATCACAGCATGTTAATTCGATTTTTTTTTAAATGTGAGTTGTTTCCCCTAATCTGTGGTGTATTCTCCCTGAATCCCTGCAGAGGCATGTGGACCAGATGCCACCTGCGTCAATCGCCCCAGTGGACTGGGGTATGACTGTCGCTGCCATCTTGGCAAGTATGGAAACAAATGCATGCAAGGTGAGGAAGGACACAGGGGTTACTGCAAATGTACTGAAGTAAGATGATGTAGAAAACAAAAGCTTTAGGTTTGAATTGTGCCAATTTAATAATATAGGATTATTTTCAGCATGTTTTAGGACTTACTTAGATTTCTCCTTGTATTTATATTCTTTAAAAATGTCAAACCAAGTCACACATTTGTATTTGTTTTTCCTTTTTATATTCATCAGGAGAACTAGTGACCACTCCGATGTTTGACGGAGAACAGTCGTTCATAGCTTATCCTCCGCTCACAAACATCCACGACGACCTTCGCGTCGAGTTGGAGTTCAAACCTCTGGACAGAGACGGACTGATGTTCTTCTGTGGTGGGAAGAAAATGAAGGTGGAGGACTTTGTAGCCATCTCTATGGTGGAGGGACACATAGAGTTCAGATATGAGCTGGGCACAGGTGATGATGATAATAATAATAACCTTCATTCCACCATTTACTCCTACAACTGTGTGGACTCGCTGTGAACTCTGGACCCGTGTCAATTTCAGGCCAAGCGATCCTCCGCAGTCCTGAGCCCGTGTCTCTGGGCCAGTGGCACCGAGCTGTGGCAGAGCGGAACAAAAAGGCCGGCTACCTGAGAGTGGACCAGGGCCAAGTGGAGAGCAAGGAGTCACCGGGCAAAGCCCAGGGCCTCAACATTCACACGTCCATGTTTTTGGGTGGAGTCCCCAAAATGGAAATCCTGCCCAAACCTGCCAACGTCAGCAGCATGTTTGGGGGATGTATCGGAGAGGTGAGGTCTTCATAGAGAGATGATGGTGAATCATTTCTCCACCACTGACAAACTGATGCCTGCTCTGTCTGTGTCAGGTCTCCATCAACAACAAGAAGGTGGATCTGTCCTACAGCTTCACAGAGAGCAGGTCGATCCACAAGTGTTTGGACAACAGCCCATGTGACCGCCGGCCGTGTCTGAACGGAGGTCACTGTATGTCCAACGCAGAGTATGAGTACCAGTGCCTGTGTAAAGATGGGTTTGAAGGTAAGTTTCACGCTAAGGTGGAAAAGACTCAACACGTCCAGATCTGTCCTTGTCAGCCTCCTGTTTACGTCCTTCTTCATCAGCTCTCAGTCCTAACTGGTTTGTACCTCCTGCAGGTGAGCGCTGTGAAATCGTCAAAGACGTTTGTCAGAGCGACCAGGAGTGCCAGAACGGAGGCAGCTGCGTGAATGGTCAGTGTACGTGTACACCCGGCTACACCGGCCTCAACTGTGAGCAGAGTGAGTACTAACTGACCCAAGTACTGGATTAAAAAAAAAAAAACACTGTTAAATACACTGTTTTCTCCATCTTTAAAAGACTAAGATTGGACTTTTTCCTGACAGAGAAACACGCTGAAATAGTCAACTGGAGGAAAAATAAAGTTATATAAAAATTTACAAAAAAGTCAAAAATAGTCAATGATCCTAATACATAGTCAACTGGAGGAAAAATAAAGTTAAATAAAAATTTAAATAGACAAAAAAGTCAAAATAGTCAATGATCCTAATACAGGTAAAGACTGTACTTAAAGGAAAATTCAGTAGCAGTAAAGAAGTCAAAAACGAATAAAATAGAATGACTTTTAGTTCAGGCACATTGGAGTTGTTATTGCAGTAAGTCCTGAGTTTTGACTTTTTTTTTTTTTTACAAAAACTTAACATAGTAAAGAACACAAGAAAAAAACATTTTACAGATATATTAAATCGTTACTGTATCAAAATTTACAAAAACATACAAGCCTTAACTTGTATAAAAAGTTAAAAAATTTGCTTCAGGCACAAACATCTGCATTCAGAACTGTTGTATACACACAACCAGAACCGGCACAGCTCAGAATCGGTTCCATATGACTCGCATTATTCACAATATCCACTCCCTCTGACACCATATAGTTCACTCCCAGGGTTGAAATGCATCCTGGGAGGGTAAATCCTAACTGATGACATGTGTCTCACCCCTGCACTCTCGTGACTGAACACACAGGCCAGGTCTCCAGTTTCCCCGCCGCCCTGCGGAATGTAGACGCTAGCGAGGCGAATGGTACAGTATCTCCAACTTCAGTCTGCCTGAAATGACCGTGACTAACAGCGGACCTGTCCGAGCTCGAGGCGGTCCTGCGACTCTACACGACTCAACCCTCAACTGCCTCTTGCTCTTAACCCCTTGTTCGCACAAATACAAACAAAAAAACAAACAAACAAACAAACATGCATCTGTACGTGTGGAAAACGAGGCTCTCCTCGCTCCTGATCTGAAGCTGGGAGAGGGGAATTCTGCATCTATGATGAAAGTCAAAAGGATAACAAACACCAGCTGGGAGATCAAATGATTTCTCTTTTTTTTGTTCTTGCTGTTATTGGACCTCAAAGGCACCATAATGTGGAATTCCCCTTGTTTTTCTCTCCTTTTTTTGTCCTGTCAGTGAATGTAAGGTGGGTTAGCTCACGACATAAAACTGTCCCACTTCTGTCCACTTCCTGTCTTAACAACGGCAAAAACAAACACAAATACTTGTCCCGAGTCGCAGCCTCAGAACTGTGCCATGTCTGCACACGTGCTCTGTCACTAACAGCTTCACATCGTCGTCTTGATAACAGTGTACAGTCTGCGTCAACCATATTTTTTTTGTCTGATTTTTGTACCTTTCATGCATGGGGTCAGTCCGGCACTTTGTCTATGAAAGGACACACACGACGGAGTGTGAAAAAAGGGAAAATTCTCTAAGTTGCATATGTGTTGGTGGGCACGACGCAAGAAATGACCCTACATAAGAACTGGACGTAGCCTGTTATAAAATGGGCGTCTTTGAAAGACCTTGTTCTGCAGAAGTCAGGCCTCGGAATTTTGCAAAAAAACAATCAAATCCAGACGACCGTGAGAAACCGAGGCGTTGGACCACATTTTCATGCAAAGTTTATGACCACAATCATAATCATCGTTTTAAGCCTTCTTCAGTCCAAGATGTACATGGGTCATAGTTCAAAAGGATACAGGTTATTTTGGTCATTTGTAAGTCAGTCCAGAGAGAAACTAGAAACCTGAGTGTAGTGCATTTGTAAAGGTTCGTTAAGGCTTCAAAACAAGGCTACGTCCATTCCTTATTCCATGTCTACAGCAGGTGCTTACAAGTCACTTTGTATAATACAGTCTGCTTGTATTTCACCTATACAGGAGCTTATTATAAAAAATAAAAAAAAAACAGCTTCTAACTATTACAAATATGTCGAAACATGTATGGGCAACCATGGCCTACAGTGGTCCCATGTACTTGATTACATTCTATCATTCGAACATTTAAAAAAGTCTATAGTTTAATAATAATCATTAAAAGTGTACGGACTTTTCTAGAAATGTTTTGTGGTTACGTTTGTACAATATATTTGGGCAGCATTTGTTTGTTATGGCGTTAACTTTCTTTTCTTTCCCTGTTTCTGACACTGGAGGGCGCCATTATAACATTGGGATTTCTTTAAAAAAAAAACAATGTCGTTCAGCTCTAACTGTGTTTCTAATGTTCGTATAGATTCGCCGTACCAATATGCAGCTCACTTCAACAGTGACGGATACATCGCTCTGCCTAAGTCCATTTTCCCCAGAAGGTAATTCTGATGTTCTCCTGTTATCACTGGCGCTATAATGAATTTATTTACTGATCCAAACTTGTGTTTTTAGCGGACACAACATACCAGAGACCATTGAACTGGAAATCAACACCGTCTCCTCTGACGGTCTGATCCTGTGGCAGGGTGTGGTGAGTCTACACGACCGGATCTTTACTCCTGCACATCATCACCTCTAACCTCTCCTGTTACCTCACCCGTAACACGACGCATGCAACTTCCCATAATGCACGTGTTTGTACTCATACTTGAGCACAGTGACAAAACCGCGTAGTGACTGCGGAGCTCCGTTCATCCTCACCCTGTCTTAAACACCCGTGTCACACGGCTGGAAAATTTCTGACATCACTAAATATCTGCATGTGGCTTCTCTAACTCATCTCCATTTCCTTCAGGAGACCAGTGGTGCACGTATTGTGCGAAAGATGCATGCTAATCTAAAGGTAACGTCTGAAACCCGACACGATGTTTTTTTTCCCCATGTGTTTGGCAGCTTTCTCACCGTGCCGTGTGCAAACTGTCCAACGGATTTTAGGCGCGAAGTGTGTATGACTGCATGGCGGCCATTTGTCACACAATTTAAATACGCAGTTTTTTATTTACAGTATTTAAGAATGAGGTGTGTGATGGTACGTGTTTTCAAATGACATACAAACACATAGAGTCGAACAGATCAGTTTCATGTTTTTTTGTAAGATCAACAATAATAAAGAAAAAATACATGAAGAAGAAAATGAACTAAAATAAGAATGTTATTATTAATAATATGTCTAATACTACTATTGATACTACTACTACTAATGATAATAAAAAATAAATAATAATAATATTGTGAGAGAAAGATGGAAAAGAAGAAGAAAAATATATACGTATATAAAAACACTGCAATATATAATAAAATTGCAGTCCCATATATAGAACAGTCAATACAACACATACAACAATAACACACCCCAACAATGCAATACAATAAATCAATCAAATCAATGGAAAAATAGTGAGAAAAGAAAGACTAAAGTGTCAACTGTGCAAAATCCCGATGCCACTTCTGTGGTGCGTACCGATCCTGGGTTTTTTGTGTACTGTTACTCCATTCGTACCAATGTGACCTATCTGACTTGAACTGGACTCCAAGCCTGCTGGTCATTGGTCAATTTTCACACACCTCTTTCTTCAGGAACCCGGAGAAAACGGCAAAGGACAGGACTTCATCAGCCTTGGTTTGAGGGACGGTCGTCTAGTGTTCAGGTACCTCAGTACTTCACTCTTGTAGTTCTCTGTGTCACTGAGATGTTGTAAAGAACAAGTACATCACTGCAGTAATTGTCATTTGAATGATTTCATATCCAGTTACCAGCTTGGCAGTGGAGAGGCAGAGATTCGCTCCCACAGAATCAACGACGGGAAATGGCACAAGATCACTGCAGTCAGGTACGACTAGAGCAGTACTTCTCAAATAGTAGGTCGGGCCCAACGGGGTGCGTGAGGGGCTTCCAATGTAATATGGCACGTTGCTGTAATGCTTGAATGATAGCAAGCCTCCAGTCACTAGGTGACAGCAACTTCTGTCCCCAAGGGGGAGCATGACAGAATTTAAATTGAGATCCACTGGATTAATGCAACAATGTATTTTATGTTTTTTTGATAAAATAAAACCTTATTAATACATTTTACATTAAGATGATCCAGTCTTAGATGTTCATGTTGTTATCGTGTGTTTTACAGAGTGGGTAAAGAGGGATACATCACTGTTGACGGAGGATATCCCATCCATGGACAGTCCAGGGGCAAGAGCCTCATGGTGAACACCAAAGGCAGTATATACCTGGGTGAGTGGAGTGACATCTTCAAAATGATGATTTAAAAGGATATAGTACACTATACTATGCTTTACTGTAATATACAATAATTTACTCTATTACTACTACTGCTCTATACAATATAATCCTATACTACCTAATTTTATCATCTAATGAACTTGACTATACTAAACCATAGTATGCGATACTTTACAATACTGTGTTGTGTAAGAGTGTGAGAAAAGGGCAAATTCCCTAAGTTGCATATGTGTTGGTGGGCACGATGCGAGAAATGACCCTACATACGAACTGGACGTAGCCTGTTATAAAACAGGCGTCTTTGAAAGACCTTGTTCTGCAGAAGTCAGGCCTCGGAATTTTGCAAAAAAACAATCAAATCCAGACGACCGTGAGAAACCGAGGCGTTGGACCACATTTTCATGCAAAGTTTATGACCACAATCATATGTTATAGGTCTTCTTCAGTCCAACATGTACATGGGTCATAGGTCAAAAAGTTACAGGTTATTTTGGTCATTTGTAAGTCAGTTCAGAGAGAAACTAGAACCCTGAGTGTAGTGCATTTGTAAAGGTACGTCAAGGCTTCAAAATGAGGCTACATCCATTCCTTATTCCATGTCTACAGCAGGTGCTGACAAGTCACTTTGTATAATACAGTCTGCTTGTATTTCACCTATACAGGAGCTTATTATAAAAATTAAAAAAACAGCTTCTAACTATTACAAATATGTCGAAACATGTATGGGCAACCATGGCCTACAGTGGTCCCACGTACTTGATTACATTCTATCATTCGAACATTTAAAAAAGTCTATAGTTTAGTAATAATCATCAAAAGTGTACGGACTTTCGCTCTGCCCATGGCAGTATACGATACTTTACAATACTGTGTTGTGCCATACTGTATTTAACTATATTATACTATAGCACACTATACTAAACTAAGCTGTACTACACTATGCCATACTAGACTATACTATACTATACTATTGAAGCCCACAGCCTGTATTGCTGGTATATCCTGGTTTCATGTTCAGTCATAGTTGACCTCAGATGTGGGTTACAGCTGGTACAACTGGTTTAGATACCAGTTATGTTGATGCAGGTGAATTAATTGATATCATATATGAACCTATAACCTGACTTACCTTAATCCAAAATGACATGTTGTGATCTGCCTTCCGCTGTGGCAGGTGGCACTCCAGACATGACTGCCATGACGGCAGGAAAGTTCTCATCAGGAATCAGCGGATGCGTGAGGAACCTGATATTGATGAACGCTGAGCCAGGACAGCGGCCAGCTCAGGCCATCGACCTGCAGGCGTACGCGTCACACGGCATCAACGTGCAGCCGTGTTCTTCATAGACGACGACGCAACTCACACATACAAACACAGATACACACAGAGACTTTGGAGTGATGTCTCACACACACACACACACAGCAGACTCACACAGAGCCTGAAATCATTGGAGCTTTGCTGCTACCAAAAAAAAAAAAAATCAAGATGACACCACTCTGTGTGCAGTAAAAACCAAAAAGTGAGACGAAAAAAATTGGAGCATTATTTACAGGTTTTCTCTTACTCAGTGTCGTATTCTGGATGAAGGACTTTTAACACAGGAGAACCAGCACAGTTTACATACTTCCAGCAGTAGTTTTAGCCATGAGAAGAGTAAGAGTGAAACATTTTAGGCCTTTCTATGATGGGTCAGATCCTATGGAGTTGGAGATGTTTTTACAGCACTGAATTTTTATTTATATACATATGAAAATATATTATATTTGTGGGGAAAACATGCAAAGTAACCATAACTGCTCTTCAACCTAGTTCCATCTGGGTTCTAATACTGTGTGCCCCGGGCTTTTTTGTAGGCCTAACTGTATTAATACTTGAAGACATTTAGGCCTTTCTTTATTCACTTCTGTAGCACAAACTTTTTACTTCCTCTAGAGGCATGCTCACCACGTTTCGGAAGAAGGGCGCACGCTGTCACAGTCAGCGTCTCTGCACGATTCAGGTTGTCCAAGTAGACAGTGTCGATAACTGCAAAAGTTAGTCCTGCTGCTTTCACCAGGTACATTTACTCATTCACACTGCTGTGTTTTCCTTGTCTGTGTATGTTTGTTCTTTTTAATGAAACAGAAAAAAAACTTTGGTGCTAATGTCGGACATGAAGATACAGGACGTAGTCATAAAGCCTGGCTGTCATAAAGCGGGAAGGGATTGTATGTTGTGTGTTTCTGAACAAATTTAGGAAAACAACTGTTAAAATGCTTGCCAGGAGGGGGGGTTGTTGTTAGACATTTTTGAAATAAACTCTTAATGTGGTCTTTTTGAAGAGTGTGATCACTGAATGACGTTTCATATGCCGATGGATGAAATCTTAAACAGCAAGTGTATATGTTCACTAGATCTGTTTGGTTTGTACCAGTTTAGTCAACTACCCCAATTCCTGCACTTCAGATCAGCATTACTCAAACTGTGGGTTGTGACCCGAAAGTTAATATTTTAAAGCTTCATTACATCCATAATAAATGTATCTGGAGTCTGCCAACAGTTAGATAACATTGTGAAATATGACGTCATTGTGGAAAAGCAGTGGACAACTTTTGCATGTGCTGTGACCAGTGGTGTTGCTCTGATGAAGCATGCTGCCCCGTCTGTATCTGATCACACCAAACAAACAAAATAGCCACAAAACCTTTTTTTTTGTCTTTTTTTAAAAAAACAAAACATTTGTATGATTATCCTAAAAAAAGAGCACTATCCCTTTACTTAGAGTTGCCTCGTTTTTATTTATTTTTTGTTTTTGTTCTCTTTTTTTCTGTTCATTAGTCTTGTTCTCCTTTTTTGTTTTTAATTCAGATGTTTTAACAAAAGTTTCCTGTTTTCCTCTGCCTGGTTATGGTGTATTTCCTCCCACAGCCCCTGACTATGAGCTATGGCAGTCATCCCACGAAGGGTTAATGTGTCACGTCTGAGCTGAGCTTGAAAACAAGAAGAACGTCAGTAGTTCCTCACTTTCAAAGAAAAGTCTTAGGAATCAGTGGCTTGTTTCATTGTACAAAACGCAGTGTCATCGCTGCTATGCCGCGGACTAAAAAGAGCGAGAACCATCATCCACGATGAAACAGTGCCATATGTTGGGCCACCTTCTACCAAAACTGGATTTTCATGGACCTACAGTATAAACACTGATGCAAAGTTGATGAAAAACCTCTTCTGTAGATGTTTGTTTTTGCACCATTTGAGAATAACGACAGTGCACGTTTAGGTGTGATGGCATTTATTTTTCTTATTTAGGTCAAAACTTAACAACACAGGAAGTAAATTGTAAAAGATTGAAAATGATTGTCCCGATGAACTGACTGTTGCATTTTCACTGTTGAAAACACACTCCCCGTGCCCCTGCTGTTTCTTAAATAAAAAGAAAATTCATGTGCTATTTTTAATTTGTGTTTTCTTTATTTCATTTTATCTAACCATGAATTCACCAGTACAAGTACATATTGAAAATGGTATGTTCTGAGTTTAAAAAGGAAATACAGATGAAAAATTATAACATATTTTTTTATAAATATGCATATTTGTTGGCTTATGGCTTCAATAAATGAATTTATACCTATGTAATGACTGTAAAAAGAAAACTTGATTTTATAGATTTAAAAAAAATATTTATTTATACCAACGTTTATTTTTAAGACCTGTATTTTTCTAAACTTTTCGTACATTTTATAGTAAGTTATTTATATATATATATATATAAATCATATTCCATCAGCTTCGTCGTGCTAGTAGCTAAAACAAAAGGGCGTTTTGCCCAAAACAATAAAATAGGGGACGGACAACAATTGAATGCGTCATATCCGGTGGAATATTCCAGCGGATATACTCTTGGTTCTTTAAAAGGAGAGGACTGGAGCTGACGCAGTGAAGTGACAGGTAAAAACTGAGTCAATACTTACACGACTTAGTATTTAAATATTATCTCGTAATAACACAGGGTCAAGTTGATAAGAAAAAAGAAGAGAAACTACCGGATTCAGCGCGTACATCCGCTTTTATACGCATTTTATACGTATTTCTACATCATTTTATTTTTTTCACATTTTATCCTGTGGATATTTTCGAGGTAAGGACATGTCTTTCCTGTGTCATGGTATGAATAAAGGGGTTTTGTTTTAAATGTACACCTGTGTAAACGCTTGTTTAGGCAGTTTATTTAGTTGTGACGCAGTTGCCAGTTGCTCCACTCTATGCATTAAAATGGTGGTGATGATGGTGAAGCTGCTCAACAAGTCTGGGCGGTATCTTGGCAGGTGTGATTTTGTACGAAAACAAATATAGATGGAGAAGAAGAAGACTAGTGCTAAAGAAAATAAGACAGAAATCCAAGATAAGATAAAACTTAAACCAAAACCGAAAGAATTCGGTTCAATCGACGACTTTTCAATAATATCCTGGTTACACCAAGCCTAGATTTGGTTGTCTGTGTAGAGGTTACAAATCTGCTGTAAACTATGAAATTGTTTGGAAGGTATATTTTAGCGTTTCAAAATGTTGTCAAGTAACGTTCCCCATTGACCAAATGAATAAAAATATTAATATTATTATTATTATAAATTATTTTAGTTTTTTTGTAAAAACTGAGTATGTATATATGGTTTTGTGTGTGTGTATAATTTTTTGGGATTTTGGGATTTTTTTTGTTGTCGTTCCAGCAGTTGTGCTGTTAACCAGAAAGAAACCATGATCCTCCTGTCTCCCTCTTCTGGTAGGTCTATCAATAAACTTTGATTATTTAATACTCTACAAGGTCAGGGATTCAAGCCAAGCTGTTGTGTAATGACAGAAATAATTAAATGTCACAATGATCTTACATTACATTACACTCTTTTCCATTTAGGAATAACAGTGTTTCTGTTATAGACATATTTCACGCCTTTACATATATATTGTTTCTTGCACTGAAACACCCCAATGTGGATTAAATACATTCCATTTTTGCATGTAGTCCCTTTAGTTGTTTCCAGGTAACACAGTATGGTCTTGCATAACAAGAAAGTTCCCATCATGCTCTGCAACATTAGGCAGAAATCCAGAAACAAAAAAAACCCCAAAACAATATTTGATTCTTTGGGCTGTAAATTTAATGAAAAAGTCCCAAATGAGAAGTAAAAAAGCATGCTGTCATGTAAGAGTGTAAACTGCTGTTGGCTTTCTGCTGTGTCTCTTGCTGCTTTCTTTCAGATGAAGAGTCTCTTGAACCGGTCGGGCTTTGGAATCACAGGAAGTTCAGGATGAAAAACACTTAAAAGGGTTGCTATACTGCAACTATTAAAATGATTTAAAACATTTGCAGGTCATTGCCTGTGCATGCTGTCTTGGACAATACTATGACTTGAGAGATAACCCAAAAAACAAAAATTTTTGGGAGGGGATTTTTTTATTTTTTTAAAAATAAAAATTTTTTTAGATACATTTTTAGATATTTAGTTTTAAAAAAAAAAAAAATTTTATGAAATTTTTGGGCAGATTTGGTGCTGGGGCAGCGTCAGCAGTACATTTATCTTTTTTAATATAAAATTCTCACATCACGTTTGTTGATGTTAAACCAAAACCGTTGAGAAAGTATGAAGTTCAAAATAAGGAAATTCAGAAAGCGTGTGGTTTTGTCTTGAGTAAAGCCCGGTGCTTCAGTTGTTTGAATTGGTTTAAAGCTAACAAAGAGAGTCTTACTGTCCTGTCCTGTTTAAAGGGAACTGAATCTGATCAGGCTAAGCAGGCTAATAAATCTCACGTCTGGTATGGGTCAATGCAGTAGGTCCAGTTAATGCTCTCTGTAGCCAGTGGTATATGTAATATGTGTTATATAGTATGTGCCGCATATATATATATATATTTATATATATATATATTTATATGTATATATGTGTATATGCCTGGATGAATATATAAACATATATATACATACATACACATATACATATATATATATATATATACACCTGCATAATAAAATGATGGTTTTCCTCCGGGTTGTTTTGTCCCTATATGTTGCATTGCGACGGACTGGTGATCTGTCCAGGGTTTACCCCGCCCACGCACGTAGATATTCCTGCAAAGGGATAAGCTAATGGAACGATGTATGGATGGATATATGTATAGAAATGTATGTAATGTTTCAATGTAATTGGTGAAAATTTATTTATTATAGTCCAGGAAGTAATACTCATGATGCATGATGGAGAAACGTTTTGCCATTGTAAATGTAATCAATGCATTTCAGTGAGGTGAAAAATGTGTGGATGAATTTATCGTAAGGTTGATCTGCATCCAATAAACATTCGTCTTGGTAAGTGCCACCTCTTTCTACATAAGGCAGGGATTGAAATTCTTTTTAATGGAATTCTGGCATTGTGTCTGGGGAATATTATTTTAATTTCCTAGTTCCAGCAACAATGTTTGGCCATGACTACAATATGATTAGTGATCAAGTCCCATTCATTTGTACGTAGGTCAGCTGATATGTACAGTAGAATCATTGAACCACACAAGCACCTGTTGACTGCTGCTGTTGTGTGGTCTCAGGTTTCTTCCAGTGCACACACACTCTTTTTTCCAGTGATTGGGCCACATGGATCCAGCTCAAGGAGTTTGCACGGAAAAATGCAGCTAATGCTCTGTCAGTGGGCAACATGGTGATGGGCATGTCCTCCATTCTCTGCAGTCTCAATGGGTGAGTAATGAAGAACTGATAAATGTTATTGTTGACAGAAGTTAACTAATGGTGAGTGGGGCTGTATGTTCAAAATTAAAAAGAAATTACAATGACGCCCACATTGAACTGTGATCAGATAATAAGTCATGGGAAGAGTTTGACTCCCCATGTATGACATAGATAATTGTTTCCCAAAGTCTGGGTCACAAGGTATTTTTTTTGGGTCGTCTCGCATCATGTTTTCCCGGAGTTAACGAAAAATGTCTATGACGCAAGTCACAAACAAGTCATGAAGGTTTGTGACTTTCAAAATAATGGTCCCCAGAAAAGTTTGGGGAACACTGACATAGATGTTAACCTAACGCTAAGCTGTTTTCTCCAGTCACCACCACGCTGCATGTTGGCTGGTCCTGATTGGCTACCTCCTGGATTTGGCAGATGGAGCCGTTGCCCGGCATCTTAATGCTTGCTCTGCACTGGGTAAGTATTGTGGACAACGGTTCTTAACAAAGATGGACTCAGACAGTTTTTGGCAGGTCGTCCTGTGCAGTTTGCTGTCTGGATTTTCTTTTCTCTTTGGAGACATGGAGTTTAGTGAAGACGTGCCAGCTTTGTGTACTTAGGAGCCAGAGCTTAATATTCTATTTATAGACTTTGCAGTATTATGCACCTGTATTTTAATGTTAAGTTCAAATACATTAATTTCTGCTCTCACTGTATCCTCCTTTAAAGACACAATATCTTTGTGTTTGCTGAACTCCGACACTTGTTTATTTAAAAAAAAAAAAAAAATTGGGGCATTACCACATGGCATACTATCAAAACATAACTTTTAATATTGTAGTTGTAGTTATATGTATGTGTGTATATGTATGTATATATGTGTACATGTATATATATATATATATATATATGGATAGATATTTTAATTTTGTATGAACTTCTCATATTCATAACAATATTGGATGTGCATTTTTTTAAGTAACCCTAAATAGCCCTCAGGTGCCAGAACACAGGATTTGTTGCACATGTCAGCGGACTTTGTGTACTGACCCGCCTTTTTTTCTGCATGACTTTGCAGGTGTATTTTTGTCAGATGAACAGTCATGTTCTGATTAAGCAGCCAAATTCCATGGGATTATGCTCCAATTGTCTTTCTATCCCATTGCCTTAGGTTCCCTGCATTTCTGAAATTGTTAAAATTGTTGACCCGGGCCATGGAATTTCACCTTGTCCGTCCCAGCCGTGGCCTGAATCACCTCATCCCCATCAGCTGAAAACCTGAGCGATAAAAAGATGCAGCAGCCGAGAATGTTGTTTATCAGTCTGTTGGGCTGACACAGGATTTTTCATTACATCAGTAATGAGTGTTCCATAATAATCAGTCATTTAGCCTAAATTTAGCCTAAAAAGGATACTCTTCTGCAGAGTTGGAGCACGTTACCAGACTGATACTAAAGCTGTGTACTCTTTACTCATAAATTAGTTTAACTCTCATGTTAATGTCTTGTGAGGAGGTGGCTCATGTTGCGTAGCACTTGCACGAATATTTTTAGCACAAGGAATGTAAAGAAAAGTATACGTTTCACCTTTTCCCTTCTAAATATACTCGGTGTCATGTAAAAATTTTTAAAAAAAAGTCAGAATAGACTTCTTAGTTTAGGTACCTGTGTTAACATTTTCTTTCTGTTTTATTCTCAGGAGCAAAGCTGGATGACTTTGCTGACTTTACAACTTTTGGAATCGCTACATCATTGCTGCTGAGGACAGATGACCTGCCGGACAACATCCTGAGCATGTGTTACTTCCTGTCTGTGTTCATCCGTCTCTGTTTCTTCTCAAGTGGCAAGTACTACATGGTACCACCAGGCTGTGTACCTTTATTTCTCTCTTGTTGTCCTGGAGGCATTCTGTCAACCTTGTTTTTCTCAGTCTCTCTTGTTGTCCTGGAGGCATTCTGACAACCTTGTTTTTCTCAGTTTATTATGTCATAAAACGTCAAGAACTAATTGGACAAAATAAACATTGCTCATATTATGTCACGAAGTATGAACTGACTGCTTTTACATAGAAGGTTGGCGCTTTGGAGAAATTCCCTGTTGCAGCGAAGGTTACACTCCCCCCGTGTGGTAAACGGCAGAAATAGACACTGATCATGTCCCAATATCATGGACAATTTTTTTTGATTATTTAAACTATGGACCCATGTAGTGATCACAGGAAGTTCTACATGTTCACTGTGTTGGCTGTCGTGAACTCCATTTTGTTCTAAATATTTATTTGTAAGACTCAATGAAAATGTGTTTTTGATTGGTTTTCAGGGATCCCATTTATGTACCGTGGGCTGCCTTGCACCTACCCATCAGCCATTTTGGCCAGTGCCTCTTTGCTGTCGGGTGGAAACACAACCCTGCTACGTCTCGTCGCAGTGGCCATGATCCTCTTCATGAGCAGTCAGAACTTCTATCCCCATGATCGAGTGCTGGAGTCCCAGGCATGGAAAAAAGTGGTCTTTGCAGGAGGTAACGCTGTTTTCAAAAAGCTGGTTCTGGACGTTCTGTATATATTTATCATCTATACTTAGGAACTGTCCAGATAAAGTTCCTGAAGTGGCTGAAATTGTCATAATGCTTGTGTAAAGTACATAAGTGAAAATGTCAGTGTAAAATGTTAATGCATAAATATAACATTTAAATAATGAATATCCACATATTAACATTTAACTAGCCAACACTAATATAGTTAGCCACTTGTTGGCTTTGGGAGCTGTGATAAGTTTCAGCGTCTTAGCATGTTAGCAAATTAGTGTTAGCATTTAGCTCAACAGAGACAAAATCAGTCACACCTATAATGACAAGAAAGACGCATATATTTTTTGTGGGTTATTTTAATATGTGACATTACATGCCATGTGACGCCTTTCATTTTGCTGTTTCTACATTTTCAGGAGTCGTCATGGTGTTCTGCTTCTCGTTCCCTCCTGTCTGTGTGTACTACCTCCTCTGGTCCGTCTCCTACATCTTGTTCCCAACATCTCTTTGGAGCAGTAAACTGTAAACAGAAGCAGTTGTCTGATTTTTAACAAGGACCAGTCTAAGAAAGTACCTATTTTAACACTCACTCTTTAAAAGAGAGATTCTGGATTTTATCTTGTAATGATGCAGTGTTTCCACTAGGGTTTTTTTTTAGGCAGCAGGTCATGCAAACTCGCCCCTCTCCTCCCTCCACGTCTCTCTCACCTCTGCTGCCTTTTGGGTTAATAAGAGAAATTAACACGAGTTTAACACTTTTTAGGTAGACACAGCACCACCCAATGGATTGAGACATGTCATGATCTTTTTTATTATATGCTACAGTAAACAGTAATCGTACAAAATGTTAATGTGCTTCTGCCCCAACCCTGATACAATAGCTGCAATAATTACAATTAGTAGCCCCTAGATGGACACAGCAAAAACTTTGTGATGCATTTGTACTGTGTTTTAAACCAAAATCATAAAAACAACCCATTATGTAGTATGTATTATGTAACCGTACTTTTACAGTTTGGAACAATGGTGACTAATCTACACTGTTTTAAATGTATTTTAAGAAAATGTCTTCTGATGCTGTTTTTATTTTGTTGTATTTCATTTCTCAGAAACAGTTCCTGCTGCAGATCTTTTCAGTCTAATCTGAGGTGTCACCTGACCCCTTTTAAGAATGCACAAAAACTTCTTCCCAAGCTCAGCCTTGTAACACCATCTCCCGTAGGTCATGTGACACCACAGTTTGTTGAGCTGACTGAGAAACTCATCACTTAGAAAAGACACTGTTAACATTACTGTTGGTTTGGTTTGTTCAACAGCCCCCAAGGCCCCATCCCTTATTTTTAATTAAGAAAAAGGTTAATATTGATTTAATATCTTCTGTTCACACTGCTGTTGATGTCATTTAATCTATTTTGGGTGGGTTTTTTTAGAGGTTTGGAAAGGGTGTTTTATACCTCTGTTTTAAGAGGCAGCGTAAAAATATTATTATTATAATCCACACCTAATCACTGCCCCCCCCCCACCCCCACCCCGCCCTTGACCATAGCTGAATCACTCTGCTTCCGTTTGTCAAATGGTGAACAAACACCTCTGTTGCTATGTTACCGATATTGTTGTCCGGTGAGTCAAACACAATGCAAGTCTGAAAATGTGTACTTTTCATCCGTGATTTAATGTAAATGTATTCTAACAACAGAACAAAGTAATTAAACCAGTACGTTGTCTGCCATCTAGTGGACCAACGCAGAAATGGTTTTACACCAGATAATACATTCGTCGTTACTCAACTCCTCTTCAGTTTGTAGATTGAATTCTATGTGACATTTTTACACAAGTGTGACATCAGTGTTCACAGAAGAAGAATGTATGGATGTGATGGAATATGTGGTGTTGAAAGGACAAATAAAAAGAGGAGAGGCATGAAATATTTGATGTATTACTGAAACATTATTCCATTTATTTTTTTATTACAGAAATTATATCATAAAACATTATTCCATTTATTTTTTTATTATTACAGAAATTATATTCATCATCTTCATCTAACTTATTTTAGCTTCTCTTGGGTATTTAGGCCAACTTTTATCTTAGCTTATATACCTTTGACAACTTAAATGTAGTATTAAGTTGTCTGTTTAGCAGTATACTTGCTAACTTTAGCTTTTCAAGACAATAATAAGTTACTTAAGTTAAATTAACTTATAGTATTGTTAACTGACCTTTTCTTTTTACTGAGTTTTAGCAGTTTTTTTCACTAATTCGTCAGAAGCTGTTTTCGATCTTTGGGCTACTCTTTGCTCGTTTTTGTGGCTAGTAGTTATTGCCAACTATTCTCCTTAACTAGTTAGTTTTTTATACAAATTCGGCTTTCTACTAGCTTAGTTGTTTGTTTGTTTTTTTCCATTATCTTTAGCAAATCATTGGCTAATTTTAACTGTATAATGAAAGTAGTTCTCATACAATGGCATGTGATACACTATGGCACAAGTTAAGAGGATACGTTGTAAATGGCACTTTGTTAACGTGTCAGACGGCAACATTGTTGATTATTGTTTACATCCTGGACAAAACACGTAAAGAGGTCGTTATTTCAATTATTTAAAAAAAAATCCACACTAGATGGTGGTTAATAGTACAAAAGAGGAAGCGTTACAATGATATTCAAAGTATCTCGAATGATGTTCTGCATTTTACCACCAGAGGGCATACTTGTACAACACTACCATCTTCGCCCTGGAAGTCCGGGCGGCTTTAGGTCCTGGCGGTAAACAGTAATGCTCACTGTAGCTTTGTTTGGGGCTTTAAGTTGTAAATTGTTCTAAACATACGACGGCAGCAGAAACATCGAAACCTCGCGGACTATCAGGTCAACCATTATGCACTAACAATGACCGTTTCCCACGTGAAAATATGTGTCCCAGGCCGGGAACTCCGCCTTCTTTCAAACGCTCCATAGAACTGCAAGGCTTCCCAGTCTCAGGAGACCCGCCCCCTGCCCTTGCGCCATTGGCTCACGTGAAAGCCTGGCTAAATTCGTTTCGCTCTGATTGGTCAGAGAGGGCTGCACTCAGGAAACCAACACGGAAACGACTGGAGAAAAAAAAAAGTTATGGAAAGAAGCCTGGACGGAAATGGCTCTGTTGCACGCTGCTCCGTAGTTTTTATACTGCATTAAAACACATTCTAGTGATTTTAGAGGAGTAACATAGAGCACAAGGGACGCGACTAAGAGCAAGGAGCCGAGTTTGAGTTGTTTTGAAGGGGTCGCGTTGAGCAGCACGACTCGGGAGGAGGAGAGCCAGGTATGTTTTTCCGTTTCCAAGGACTGATGTCAGCGCGGGGAAGGTGGAGGAGGAGGGCAGAGGAGGAGGAGCACCAGCAGGAGGACAGGTGCGCCTCACAGCAAAGTTAGGGCTTCAACAGGCATCCAGCAAGAGCTGTCAGAGAGCGGAGAGCAGCTCCTTGGAAATCCGCTTTTGGAATTCTGCATTTGTTCGAGCAATTCGACCGTGAAAAAGTCCGTGTGTGGATTTGGTGGAAGTGGAATACGGGTTTATGCCTCGCTCAAGGGAGTGACTGTTCAGGCTTGTGGGGCTTTAGTGTTGGAATAGTGCCGCGTGAAGCAGTCGACGGTCGGCGGCGTGGACGGAGCTGCTGCGGCTGTGGCTGTGTATGTGTATGTGTCTACTGCTGGAGAACCGAGACGCATCAGCATCTTCAGAAGCAGCACTTTAATGCGACACTGACGCAGCTCATCTGGCATCACCACAGACAGGTGATGAATGGGAGGATCAGGCGTCAACACAGCGACTTCCACCTGAAATAGCGAGAACCCCACCATGGAGTACGAGACGAGGAAGCATCTCTAAAAACTGCCCCCCGTAACCTGTGATGATTTCACCGTGCGTCACTGAGTCTTAGGATCAGTTTGCCCGCGGAAGGACAGTCGTTCTTAGGAACTTGCTTTCTGGTTTACAAGAGCCGCCGACCATGTCGAAGACTCTGAAGAAGAAGAAACACTGGTCCACCAAAGTGCAGGAGTGCGCCGTGTCGTGGGGGGGAACCGGGGAGCTGATCACCGTGGTGGAGGTGCGGGGCGGCGCGGAGCTGGGAGAGTTCCCGCACCTCGGACACATAGTTTCCGAGGCGTTGGTTTGTCTCAGCGGGAGGTTTCCCAGCGGCGGGGACGTGCTGCTGGAGGTGAACGGCACTCCGGTGAGCAGTCGACGGTCGGCGGCGTAGACGGAGCTGCTGCGGCTGTGGCTGTGTATGTGTCTACTGCTGGAGAACCGAGACGCATCAGCATCTTCAGAAGCAGCACTTTAATGCGACACTGACGCAGCTCATCTGGCATCACCACAGACAGGTGATGAATGGGAGGATCAGGCGTCAACACAGCGACTTCCACCTGAAATAGCGAGAACCCCACCATGGAGTACGAGACGAGGAAGCATCTCTAAAAACTGCCCCCCGTAACCTGTGATGATTTCACCGTGCGTCACTGAGTCTTAGGATCAGTTTGCCCGCGGAAGGACAGTCGTTCTTAGGAACTTGCTTTCTGGTTTACAAGAGCCGCCGACCATGTCGAAGACTCTGAAGAAGAAGAAACACTGGTCCACCAAAGTGCAGGAGTGCGCCGTGTCGTGGGGGGGAACCGGGGAGCTGATCACCGTGGTGGAGGTGCGGGGCGGCGCGGAGCTGGGAGAGTTCCCGCACCTCGGACACATAGTTTCCGAGGCGTTGGTTTGTCTCAGCGGGAGGTTTCCCAGCGGCGGGGACGTGCTGCTGGAGGTGAACGGCACTCCGGTGAGCGGACTCACCAACAGGGACACACTGGCGGTCATCCGACACTTCCAAGAGCCCATCCGACTGAAGACCGTAAAACCAGGTGAGTGTCTCTCTTTCTGTTTGTGTGTAACCTGGAGAGCTTTAAAGGACAGGTGCCAGACGTGCCGGGCATAAATGAGATGCTCAGCCCCCACGGCTGCGCCTGCTGGTGCTGGGAGGCAGTCGGGGTCAGGTGTTGTTGACGTGAGTGCTGTAATATTTATGTTCCTTATTTACATGCACCAACAGGCCGCCTCATTCTAATGCACATCGTCAGCACGGGGTTCATCGCAGATTCTGGTCCGCGTTGACGTGACCTCGTCACTCAGCCGTGCGTGCAATAATTCTAATTTACTGTTTGCACCATGGAGTGCACTGGTAGAGTTGGTGGGTTGGGTTGGTTAGGGGTGTAACTGTAGGCAGAAGCTGGAACGTGCATCGTTATTGACATCACGATTCGGTACGTTTTCGGTATCACTTGAAATGTGAATTAATTTAGCCTATTAACGGATTTTTAAAAATAACTAATATGGAGGTTCTTAAAAGTGGGGAAAAAAAGGAGAGAAAATTAACGAAATTTTCTGTGGGTCCCATGGGGTAAGAGGTGGGGGCATCACAACAGTGTTCTGGGGGAAGTTAGTCTTTTCACTTTTACCACAGTTATTCTTGACACATTTCCAAAATATATGGAGAAACATGCATCGAAAATGTGTCGTGTTGTTTGTTTATGTGCCAAATGTTCTGAAACGGTTCTGGTACTGATCCAGGCCTAAGGTTGGGTTTCTTACAATTGTCCATTGTCCATGTGAGGTCAACCTGGTGGCTGAATCCCTACTGCTGTTGGAATTGAGTGTACGGTTCAGGTTTGAGTCCTATAATATGTTCACTACATACATACTCTTGTGGGCCACATCAGTGGTACACGTTGGCAGGACAGGGTTAGATCTAAATTCTTGTTTTCAGATTTGCCCGTAACTTTTCAGCTTAGACTCAAAAACGAAGGATCACTGGAGATTCTGGTCCATATTAATGTGATGTCACCACATACTAGTCTTACTAGGTAAACACTAGGTCCTAATAAATGTAATCCTATACGTTGTAGTATTTTTTTTAATCCACTGTACCAATGAACATATTCAGGTTTTTTTCTCATTGCTACCCAGTAGATTTGTAACTTGTAACTCTACATTATTATACACTATTCCATTTAATTAACTTTGTTTGTTCTCTTCTAAAAACCTGTCTGTGTCTGTGACACATTTGGTGCAAAAACAAATTCAGTTTTTTTTTTTTCGACTCCTCTCCCCTTCATCCATGTGAAGCTGTACAGCTGCAGTAGAATTCTGCCAACCAGGATCCCCCGCTGTGGTGGAGCTGCTTTGTTCACTGTGCCCAGATGTGCATGCACTACAACATAAACCATGAATGGAAGCAAGCGCTGTGTCTGATCTCACAGCCCATAATCTCCTTTCCACTCATGCAGAGGGGTTTCTCTCTCTGGGCTCTCAGTCTGTGTCCTGTACAGTAGCCACACTCACGTTGCCATCTCCTGCACCACGGACAAACACACACACACACAAACACACACATTCACATTCATTATAATTCCGTGTCTGTAAGCTCTGCTAAAAGCTTATTGATTAAACTTGTGTGTCTGTACTTAACTGATTTTCAAGCTCACAAACAAACGTTAGCAGTTGTGTGGGTCTCCGAGCACAGGCACGTGTGTTTATGTGTGTGTGTGAGAATAAGAAAAACAGAGAGAGAGAGAGAGAGAATAACTGATGAATCTGATAGAGGAACAGCTGAGTCTGGCACTTTGAAAACACTTAGCAGGGTTGTGCTAATGGTCGCCTCCCACTGTTTAGACAGTATCAGTCTAACTTGCAGCACTGAGCCGAGTCCAAGTCTAATCAAATTAATTAGACCTGTATCATTAAGATGCCCCAGGATGTCGCGCTGATCTGCACCATGACAGGAAGTGACACCTGCACCTGCGTCTTCTGTCCACTTGGTAGGGTCAGACTGGTACGGCTACGTCTTTATGTTTAGTGCATATATATATATATATATATATACACACACACATGAACTGTAAGACAGTACTGGATATTATTGTAGTATTGTATTGTCAGTAGTGCCGCTCACTCTACACCTGTTTATCTGCAGGCTGCTTCAAAACAGAACCTCATCTCTGAGGCCTTGTTGTGTGTTTACCTCCCCCCCCCCCCCCCCCGGTCCCCATGATTAATTTATGTTTCATTAATCATTAATGTCCGCTCCACGTCTGATGTTCGTATCAAGTCCCAGCTCACTGCTGTGGACATACAGCAAACAGGCCGACTCCTAAGACGGGACAAACCCTACGGGGGGGCCGGGGTTCTGAGCCTTTTCTGTGAAATACTTCTGTGTACTTTTTTAGTGGTAAAACATTAACCTGTCAAAGCCGCCTCTCTATACTTTACTTTTCATGTCCCCCAGCCTAACTCAGGCCTCATAAAAGTATCCCCCCTAGTGGTGGAAATAGGTTTTGTCTTGAAAACGTGACCCATAAGAATTTCTTCACGTTTGAAAACCCTCCCAGTCTTAGTGTGTCAAACGAGCCAAACGATTCTAAAGGTGAACCTCACAGCAAACATGAAGCAGTGGTGAAGTTGACAGTACATCAGTACAGTCACAGTAACCCCCGCCCCCCCGCTCCCCCTGTTCTGTCAGGAGTCAAATATGCAGTTTACCCTGACAGAGTTCTAGTGTTGTGAACCAAGGACCTGTTCCGACTCAGAGTCCGGTCAGTGGGCAGTAATGGAGCTGCTCGCTTTACACACTTTGCGGAGTTTAGTGAACGCACGGTTTAGCTCTCAGGTCCCAGAGGAGAGCACGTGATGCAGTGATGGACAACCACAGTCTGAACAGAAGCCATTTATTTTCCGATCGAAGTATGAGATAAGAACTATTGATAATGACGACGAGGTTTGAAGATGTTGTGATTCGTTAACTGTGTGTTAATTATTGACATCTATGATTGATAGAACTTTATGAATCCCTCGGGAGTTCCCTTTGGGAAATTATGATGACATGATCCCTGGAATGAAATATTTGAAGTCCACTCACTGTGGATGTGAATACTTAGCCAATTACCACAACTTGGCGACTGTAACATTACGCCACTATTCACTAATGGGATGATACAGATGAAAGGACGAGCCAAATGTAATTCTCTTCTCACTCTATTTGATGACAGAAACCTTCTAGAATCTATGTTTGCTTCTCTGCGAACTATAAAAAGAAAATCCCAATTTCTTTCTTCTGTCTCTGCTGCTGCTTCACCACAGTTAACACTGCCTTCAGCACCACAGCAGAGCAATACGGGCACAGCCTGCCTTCATATACCCCCCCCCCCTTCTGTAGCAAGGCTGCCCTGCACCAGCTGAGAGTTGCCGGCTCGATCTCTGCCTCTCCTCTCTTGTCCTCCTCCTCTCCCGATGCTAAAAGTGATTTTGTGTCTGTCAGGCTTCTGTACGGTGAACACACACTCACACCAAACAGACAAGATGCCAAGTCTTCAAAATGTCAGAGTTAAAGTCAATGTTTCACCACAGTCAGTTTAAGCCGATTAAAAAAAAAAAAAACATAAATCAGGGAACAGTCTTCGTTGTCATTGGTCCGTTTGTTTCACGCACGTGCTGTGGATACCCTGTGCTCCCACTACTGCATATTTGTGGGTGTGTACTTCGAGCTCGTGTGTAACGTCGCCTGTACATGTGATGTAACAGACAGCCGTTTACCACCGGCTGTCACACGTTCCTGACCGCCGCTCCTCCAGCCCGTCAGCAGTGACGGACGGCGGCGTGCGCTGATGAGCGTACTGAGATCCCCAGACTGTAGTGGTCGCTTTGAATACAAAGACCGCCCTCCCCCCCCTTTCAGCCCCTATTGCCCCCCGTGGCTCTTTTTCATCTCTACTGCTCTTCCCGGAGCAGCCGTCTTCAGAGCCGAGCCGTTCCCCTCCCTCCTCGTGCTCTTCCTCCTCCTAACAGCGTCTCACTCTGGCCTCCTTCTGTCCTGCCGTTCTTGAACAGATTTGCCTACTGCACCAGTTGCTCCACACGTGTATAAAAGGGATGAATGAAAGCTGCTCTGATGCAAACCTTCCTGGAACATTTCCTGCATCATTTTTACAGTTTTGGAACCGGCGGCCTGTTGGCAGTGCTCCCGAAAGTTCTCCCAGATGTTCAGTGACGTGCTGCGTTTTTATTCTCTTCATGCTAACATGGTGCATGGTCCTGTAGAGCCGCACTGCAGTCACTGAGAGGTCAGACTCTCAGGCAGTGTTTTAAACAAGTCTCGTCTTCACAGGAGCGTTTAAAAAAATCAGCGTGTGTTTGCTGATCAGTGCTGATTCACTAAGACAGCTTCTGTGTAATCGCTGAGTCGTCTCACTGCAGCGTCGGCATCAGCATCAGCATCAGAAGCAGCAGCAGCACCAGTGTCTCTGGTGGAAATGAATGGTCTCGTTCTCCCACACACACAGATCTGGATTTCACCTCCTGTCTCCAGCTTGACTCCTAATTGGTCTCTCCTGCAAACAGCAGGTTGCTCCTGCAGCTGTTTATCTCCTCAGAGTTAAAGATGAGGTCAGCATCTAAACAGTGCATGTACAGAACGGAGCCCAGCGTCTCCTCTGTCTTGACAGATGATGCTGCGCGGGGAGAACACAACTTATCCTGGTTCCTGGTTCATCACTTTTTAACAAAGTTCAAACTCGTGCGTTAACTGCTGCAGCTCCAAAAATTAAATCAGGATTAGTTTTGATTAGTATGTATGAAATCGCAGTTATTTAGCCTAAGTGGAGAAGCCCCTGAACTGCAGAATATGTCAGAATATAAATGCTATGTGGAGAAGCCCCTGAACTGCAGAATATAAATGATATATTTTTTCTTTTTTTTAATAATGTTGTTTGTTTTATCAATTGGAGATTGAGTCTTGTCTTGGCACTTGAAAGGTCCTGGTATTACTGGTTGGCTTTACTGCACCAACCACTTTGTTCCTGCACAGCAGCCT